AGTAGTTTCCAAATGTATAAAAGCTATATATTAAATATGGAATTAAATTATGCAACAGAATATTTTAAACTGTGCGCGCAAGGTGGAAACATGACGCAAAATGGTGTCACAAAGCGGATTAAATTATAAAAATATTTGTGGCAACACAAACTTTCTGATGACTATTTCAGAAAGCAGCTATATTATGTAGTCAGCTGTAAAAAGTTGGAAGTGATTGCTTTTAAAATAAATAAGTTATCCCAATTCTTGCAACAGTCACCTATTCGAAGATCTTATGGGTTTTAAGGTGTATGAGTCCCCTTAAAATGTAAAGATACTGAGGTGCATCAGAAATGGCGTTTGAACATTCAGATTCAACATGAAATGTTGCTTCGTATTTCAATAGTGTTTCGATGCAAAATGTTAATCGTTTAACTAGCTCTGTGAATTCATTTTTCGATGGTATTAAAGTTAATTACTTGGACTTCCTAATACACTTATTTAATTATTCTCATTTACTTGAAATCTTAAATTCTGTTATAATTATTTCCATAGTTCTGAACTTTTGTGAAATATTTCTCTATAAAATAATATATTTGAAAATGTTTTCTTCGAACATAATGTTCTGAACTTACAAGACCTGTCAAAATCTTTAAGCAACAAGTATTAAAAATAAGACATCTATGATAAGGTAGCACTTTACAGCCAGTTTGTTTTCATTCGCAAACAGTTTGTAGCAGAATGCTTGCAAAAACATATAGTAGCTTTTATGCAGTGTCTACCTGTTGACATGTTAGAAGGGAAGCTGTCATAACCTTGGATGGAGATTGAAATTCCAGAAAAGGTCCGTTCGACGTAGGGAGTTTCCTACGAAACGTTGAGAAGAAGTTCATGAAATTCTTTTTAACACGTATGAGGTACTTAAAACTGGAACTACTCTGATATGCGCCCTCAAGTCGCCAAATTTCTCGCCAAATATTTTTGGCGAGAAACTTCACGCGGCCATATTACTATCTAAATGTTTTGTCTACATTTCGAACTTTAAGCCTAAAATGCCTCCAAAAACGCGGTTTTCGCACGTGCAAAAACTACGATTTGAACACACGATTTAAGCTAAAAATCCGAAACAAAAACAAAAAATTTAGATAGCAAAAACGTAAAGTTTCTAACCAAAAATATTTGACGAGAATCCATGTACACAGCGACATGTTTTAACTTAAAAAAATATCTACCAATGGCACAACGTAGGCAACGAACGAATCTACGAACTATGCACACCTCCCTTTAATAAATTAACATAACAACAATAAATTTCAAAGAATACCATGTACACAGTATCCTGTTTAAACTTAAAAAAAAAGAAATCTACGAATTGTACACTGTAAGCAATAAACGAATTTACGAACTACGCACAACTCGCTTTAATAAATTAACATAACAACAATAAATTTCAAAGAATACCATGTACACAGTATCCTGTTTAAACTTTAAAAAAACATCTACGAATTGCAAAATCTACACTAAAAACAAATCAAGAAAATAAACTAAAATAAATTTCAGACAATTCAAAAAACAACAACAGAAAAGGAAATTCATACAAAAAACAATGAATATAATATTCTACAAAATAGAAACAATAAAATGAAAAGCACTTACCATAATGAAAGCTTCTTTTAAAAGCAGAAATATCAATTTCAAACTTCACAAAAACAAAAAACGCAAACACTTTTTGCAAATAAACTACAAAGAAATTTTTAATTTTTCCCATTCAACACATGTTATAATTTCTAGAAATTTATTAAAAGCATCTTTAATTTCATGACAGTAACGGAAAAACATATACATAGCCAAATAAAATTCAAAATCACATTTTCTATTATAAGTAGGTAACGAAGCTTTTACATGGCGCCACGTACTTTCTATACTATTTATATGACAGCCAGACTCGCTATCCACAAAATTTAAACTATGGTTCACAAATAAATGTTCAAAACCTTTTTTTCTCAAATCCTTGTAGGATTTCCAAAAATCGGAAAAAATAGTTGTACCAGGCTCAATCCACTCTTTAATACACTGTATCAGCGTTTCCTTACTTCTATCATGCACAGCTACTAAAAGTGATCTCCCAGACCCTCTTTCCACGCCTCCAAATACCCACTGCCCCTCAACAGGATGGCCACGATGATATTTCCTTTTGCCGAATTTCGATTCGTCCACTTCCCCCACTTTATCTTTCCCCCCTATCTTCTCAGATACATAGCATACAAAGTCCAAAATACATTCGTTAATAAAATTTCGCCAGTCACACAACGTCTGTGAAGAAAACTTCCACGATTTTGCTATATCACATGCCTTCCTACGATTCAAAATTTCGAAAGTAACAATAGAATCTTCCTCCAACGTTAACTTGCTACACGAAAACCAAGATCCAAACCTTAAATTCCGCTGACACCCACATACTTAATTAGCAACAATTTTACTGCAAACCCACACAAGTCTATCAGAAACACCATTTTTCGTCCGAGTTCTCATATCAGCTCCGCATTTCGGACACGTCAAACTCCGTTTTAAAAGTCCCGACTCCCACAGAAATTCCAAAATACACTAACGATCCCCATAAATACATCCGTGAACAAAAGACTCGTTAACAACTCCAACATCGTACCTTTTCATACTAAATTTACTCTGCACACAATCTAAAATACGCGGCTGAGACGTTCCCACCACGTCTTTCATCGCAACATAGGCCATTTCAAAAACACCCGCACCCGCGACACGAACCATCTAGCAATTTTAAACTACTCCACCAAAAGATTTTTCAACGTCGACATGGTTGCCATACAACACGCAATCGCGCCAAAAACCAGCTCAGCTCAAAACACATATCGCCACATTTGGTGAAATTAGGGCGTTTATCAGAGTTGTACGTTAAAACGTAATTCAACGATAGGCACAACCCTTGAGTCTTGTCTATAGAAACATTCATGGATTTGTTCTCATGTTACCGTCAAGACCAGTAACATAATTTATAGGAATCCATGTTGTACAATGTGGTTTGTAGATACAGTAAAACCCCGCTTAACGCGGGGGATACGTTCCATCAAAGTAGAGCGTAATGCGAAACAGCGCTAAACGAGGCTATCTTTACATGTAAATATTGGGGTTAGGGGAAGATGGCTAAAAATTGGTTAGGTATTAAATTTAAAAAAGTATGTTTTTTTAATAAAATAAAACCAAACATTTATTTCTTAAAGCCCAAATTAATACCAATTATTATTTCTTGCAAAAATAAAAACAAAATATAAATAACAAAACGAATATTCTTAAAAAAAACAAATAAAATTCTAAGTCAGTCATATTTAGTTAGCCTTCCGCGTTTTTTCAGTGTTCTGCCTTATTGTGACAAAAGCATCTAATGTTGTTTGCCTTTTTCTTTTGCGTTGTTCTCTTAAAAGTTCTTCGTAAACGGATAGAGCATCTCTAACACCACGCCTTACTTTTGAGCTCCTGTCAAAATTCGGATCATTTTCAATGAATTGATCCATTATTTTCAGTTATGGTAGACAAACTCCTTTTTACAAACGCCATCGAAAGTTTCTTTTTGCTCTTCTTCTGAATCACTGCTGTCAAACATTTTTGTTTTCTTTCTTCTTGTTCAGTTTAAGTTTCCTTGAGCTCATCATTAGAAAGACTAGCCGCTGCTTCTTGAATTATTTCTTCGACATCTTCCACATTTTTACCCCTTCAAAAATATGTCTGTACAATACCGCACCAAACAAGAAATACAGTACACTCTTTCGGATATGTATTTGAAACCTATCGCTGCATAATATTTCGGGGAATCCCCGTATGCTGCGAGCGATTTCGTGGAATCCCCGGGTTGAAATAAAAGAGCGCTAAACCGAAACAGCGCTAAACGAAACAGCGTTAAGCGGGGTCTTACTGTATATGGAATAGTGTTAAATTTATCATTACGTTATTGTTGCGTGTTGGATGCATTTAATGTGCTTTAATTAACTGCACATTAAAAGAAAAGTATTCATGAATTCTTTCTTTTCAACAACCACATTGCCCACACCCTTTTTTTGCGATATTCAATAGCAATTATGTCTCGTATGGCTCGAGCTCTGGAATTCAGTAGAAGTTTTTCTCTTCATATATAGTGTTCGATCGTACAAAGTGGTAAACTCAGAATCTGGAACTTTATTGTCATACTGCATGATCATTGTAGCGTTTTCTCGTCGTAGATAGTGTCCGATCATTCGACACCATACTGAATTTGGAACTTTATTGTGACACTGCATTATCATCGTATATTTCACATACGGGGCTATGATTATACACAGGTTTCATAATTTTGGTTTTTAAGTATTAAATAGTTGATAATATTTCTGAGTTGGACTGATGCCCTATTTTCTCAAACATTTTGGTCTAACACTATGGAACCTACAGACCGATGCCATGAATACAAGTGGTGTCAGTGTCGAGATACAAGAATGCCAGGAACGGACACGCACATGTAGTCTCACACGAGTGCGAAATTTCAAATAATTTTTGAAGATGAACCTGACTTTCAAAATAACTTACGTATAAGCTCCTTGTTAACACACACTTCCTTTTCCTAAAATAAGTACAGAATGATGGAATATTCATTCTGTCGAAGACATGCAGCAGGAAACTCAGGACTTGGTCTAGAGGCTTTTAGAAAATAATTTTGTTTTAGGTCACTTCAAGAACTACTTTGGTGGATATGCGCTTGTAAGATGAGTCCACTTTGAGAACGATAACAGCCAGTGAATTTTTAAATTTTGTTTTAAGCTTTCTTTTTTATAATCCTTTTCTAGTTAGGATTTTAACAACAGAATAGCTTTATAGAATTAGTATCTGAATATGTATCTTTATGTATAAAAATTTGACAACTTGATAATATTTTACATGAATGCTTTAGAATGTTTTCTGATATTACTTATGAAATGTGTGTATGCTGCTACACATATACAAACAATTACTGAAAATAAGATTTAAAAATTTTATTTTTCATCCTACATAAACTATATCAGTTATTAGTAATAATAAGTACAAGATCTGCAAAAATTTTATTCAACAGAGCACTCGCAAATTTTTATGAAAAGAATTAGTTTGGATAGTTTACTACAGGAAAGTATTATAAAATAATATTACTTTCTTTTCTTTCTATTTTGTTATTTTAAATTAAGACTGATGACAGAAGAGTAGCGGAGAGCTGGAGTTAACGTAGGAAACTACAATATAGGAGTTTTATGAAATAATGTATTTTGAAAGAATAAAAACTTTAATTCTCATTTTATTATGTGAAGCATAATTACTTAAGCATACCGTAAGCCTTTAGTTTCCTCCACAGGTAATATTGAAAACCTGGGAAAATTAATAAACACATATCTAAAAATTTGCGATCAATTAAGTTCAAACTGCAACAAATGAATCAAAATGGATTTAAATACTCTTCAATTTTTAAAACATAATTTTTGATCAAATAATCTTAATGCTGTAGGATGGAAATATACGAGAATTTGTGAAGAATGATGCCTTTAATGAAGTAATAGCCCACTCTAATCATTGCTTGTATGCGTATAAGTAACTGACTCTGTTTTGTAATGTTAATTAAATAGTTGCACGCATGATTTGCATTTAAAGTTTCCATAAATCAAGACGTATTACAACAGGCACAGTCACAGGTGCACAAATAGATGGCCAACTGCACATCACTTATGACATTTATGAGATTTGTTCAAACAATTTTCCATCGTTAGGTAAATTAACACTAGGACTGAAACACACCAGGGAAGGTGATAACTGTCAAGTATGAATTAAGACAGGTGGCATTCAATATTCTGGAAAGATGAAGATCCTGGTCTGAGTCGTATTTAAAGAGCATATGTTTAGTAACTCCCAAGGAATGCAGAAACCTCGACGATAGAAGAAATGTCCCCTATGTTTCAACTGAATATATACTATTCGCCTCAAACAGAAAGTGAAACAAAAGGACTTGTTTAATTGATAAAGCTTGTTAGCTAAGTCGTCTTCAGAGTGGTGAAATCATTGACGTTAGTCTTGTCGAAACACTCTCCTTTAGGGTGGTTCCTGACTGTTGATGAGTTTATTGGACAATCCAGCAAATTTTCTACCTCGACACATTCTGTCGGCGCATGCTGTGCAGCGAATTAAGAAGGAAGTGCCAAACACAGAAACTATGTTAAATATATATTAGGACAATCTGATCACTCTTATTTCTGATCCAGGTGCAATGCTCCCGGCTGGAGTGAACATACTAGTTGTTATAGATTTTAATTGAATCTTATGCCTTTATATATTTCAGGGATAATCTGGCTCTATCATTTCGCTAAATCTATTCTTTTTGAAGTAAGTATATTCTGTGCCATAGACAATTGAAACGAATATGGCTCTGTTGTATAACAGCGTGGAGTCGGTAATGTCTGAAATGTTCTAATTCAATAGCTCACTGCAATATTTTGCCTTTTGCTGACGCTTTCTGAAAATTAATAGATGATGTTTGATTTTGAAATTCAAAGCATTTATATAGTTAATCGTAATTATGAAATTATTTCCTATATACCAACCACGGCTGATGCACTTAATGAGTCTTGGAATTCCAGAAGCTAGCCTCTCTCAAGTTTGCAGTTGATAACACATTCTGTTATACATGCTTGTCTAGTTTAATGGAATTTTCGTTTATAGTACCATTTTCAAATCGAATGCTTTTGGCATAATCATTGTTAATACGTACGTTACAAGCAAAAAATAGCTAAAATTTCGAAGCATCTATTTCTTACACTAACGTATACTCTTTCTTATACTGACGTTTTTATACTGTATGCACGTTTGCTCATAATTAACATACAAAAGCATTGTACCACTTCTGCAAACTCAGTGAGGAATAATATATCTTTACACAATATTTTCAAACATAACTTGAACATAATCATGTTTGTTAGAATATGTATAACATGTATGTAATTTTAGTATATCTGCGATAATAAAAAGAATCTTCCCCAGTCAATGTCCTGCGCGTATATATGCATAACCATATATCGAAGGTAAATGTAAAAATATATGCAGTATATTTTCTTCAACTGAGTTACTTATTTTTGTATTCTCTTCTCAGATCATATAATTTACCATCTTTTAAAAATCACATATTCCGACAGTTTTATTTTGTTCGGATGTATGAATAATATTACATAACATAATACCTAAATTTTACATTCATTAAAATCATAGTTGTGCATTAAGATTGTGATAATTTGAAATTCGTGATATTCAGCTAAGTTTGTTTTAGATATTTCTCATAAACATGCATTTTCTTATCAAAATTTAAAGTATTGAGATAAAATGATAAAATATAATTTTAATATAAACTATGGGGTAGAAAACTGTACGTTTCTCGATTTTTTCCTCTTTCAAAACTTAGTTTTTACGTATTCATTTGCGTGCGAAAGGCTTAAGAGCCCCGAATAGTATTTGCAATCCCTTGTTCAGAAGGAGAACAATATGTTTAAGCAAGGAATCGCAACATTATTCTTTAAGCCTTTAACAGTTATAAAAAATATACTGAGTCATGTGCTTTTCTGAATTTGTCAAAAAATGATTTTAAAATAAATTAAAATTGATATTAAATGTGTTGTTATTATGTACTCTCTCAAAAAAACCTAATTTGTTAGTAATGTAAATAAGTGCGAATGAACAGTTTTACTTATTAAGCACAACTATGATTAAAACTTAATCCTACAAAATTTGCATAAAACGTACTCTCTGTTGGCAATTTCAGTTCAGGAAAGAAATAATGAATGATTTTAATGGTTTTTGTTAAAACTAAGACTTTCCTGTTCATTCATTATCAGTAAGTATACTTTGTCATCAAAGAATAATGTTCGCCTTAAATATCTTAGAATTGCAAAAATCCATTTCATATGTCTTCATGTTCACCATCTATACGTCAACCATCTTCTCTCTCCAAATTTATGCTCTAATGTATTCCGTGTCGTAGAAGTATTTAGGAGAAGAAATTATATTGCGTAATCAGCAGGAATTCTAACTAATATCATAACAGTTTACAAAATTCGGAAATGTATCTCTATTTCAAGTTTCCTTTTCTTACGAAATTTTACTCCTACTTTGCAAAGAGTGGTTACTTCTATTACACATGAGGAAGCACCAAATAGTTTTTGCTGAGCAGTATTTGTCTATGAAGTTTCTAAACTTTTTTTGCATAAAAAACAAGAATATTTTTACTTTTCAACAGGAATTAAGCAAAATTTGCAAATTTGTTCTTTCAACATGGATTTAGAAAGAGTAAGATAAGCGCTTCAGTCATGTTCTTGTAATATATCAAGCACATATATTTAAGAAAAAAATCACACTTCTATTACAATTTTAATGCAGTTATATTATTTTGTCTTATTTATTATATGCTGTAATAGTCTTCTTGTAAAAACTGTCATTAATACATTTTCTTATTTACTTAAAACCATCAGCGTTGAAATGCGCGTAAATTTCTATTATATTTTATAAAAATGATGATATGACGTATTATCTACCCACATCGTATGACTTCGCTTGTTTCTTTGCTATGTTTATCGTTTTCATTTAAAGAATGTTAAATAAACACGCTTTGTGAATTTACCATTGTTGTTTAAAACTTTTAAGTGCTTTGATTTCTGAATAAATATGCATAAGCTCAACTTTTACAAACAGAAGTAGAATTCTAGGTAGAATTCCTTAGAAACACTTGTCTTAGAAAATGTTTACGATCATCAAAAGAAATGACAACAGTGGTAACAATACATTTGAATGCATTGTACCATTGTATTGTGCAATGCATTAAATTTCCTCAGCTTATGAATAGCCGAAATATTCCTCCTCAAAAATATAATTTCATTTTTTAAATTCGTAGACCTTCTTGTTTACTATTCGATATACACTGTATGCTTGAATGTTAGACTTAGACACACTTCTTCTGAGGTCCTAATAAATTGTAAATTAACACACTCATTTTGGTACATTCTTTAAGCACTAGCCTTTTTCAATCTCTATTAGGATTACTTCTAGAAATACGTCACTTAGCAAATGTTCAAGTGTACCTTGCCTTTTAGAAAATGTAGAGTTTTGAAAATCTTTCATCATAACTTAGGCTGTCGTAGTTTAGAATTATTCACCCGACTTTACTTTAAAATATTTCAGGTATGGTATCCAAGCAGTATCCTGCCTTTCAAACGCAAGTGGTAGCAACTGTACGGGAAGGATCCGTAACTGGCGCCATTTCTTGATGAGTGGCACACTTCGGTAGGAACAGAAATGCAAACGTGTCTCGGAACTGCCTACTCATTGAACAATAAATGATGAAATTAATGGCACTGTTAATAAGAGCCAAAGCGTCCATTGTTTCCCCAAAATTAAGATATACATTGTTGAAGAAATCAGAACCTAATATACCACTGAGTAATGCTAATAATCCTGCTGGAAATTCTGTGAGCAAGAAGAGTAATAAAACTGCTAACAACATCCTTGTCGTTCTGTCATGTGAGCGGTCGTTCTCTGCCCGATTTTTCAGTCTTTGCCTTCGTAGATTTGCTTCATAAAGTACGCGGATTAAACCCAAACTAAGAGCTGTGAGTGCGACGCATGGAACCAACTTAGTGATGACGCTGAAAAGCCAAAAGTTAATTTTCTCTAACAATTTGTCATGCCTTTGAGCTATTTTACTGAAATCCACACGATACATCACTTCGCCGTCGTTTCCTTTAAACTTAGACACTGTAAATGTTATGTATACCGGAATGCAGAAAATCGCGCAGGTGATATAAGTTGCGAAAATGGCACACTTCGCTCGTGGCATTGAGCACAAATTGTTGCTACTTGCCGGAAAACTCACCGCCATGAATCTCCAGATAGCAACTGTGACTGTTAGCCATATTGATATGGTGTGATTCACTACTGTGAAATGAGCATGGAAGAGGGTAAATACTGCCCAGCCATATGAAAACTTTTCCTTCTCACTGAGATCTTTACGAATGTAATTATGGAAAGTAAATGGTAAGTATGAAAACATAACCAGCATATCTGCCACTGCAAGGCCAGTAAGGATGGCATTGGTAGGCGATACCATGTTCTTCCGAGTAAGAACTATGATATTCAAAACATTCGCAGTTATTCCAAATATGCAAACGATGAAACTCAGGTATCCATGTATTGATCCGTATCCATTTCGAAATATTGTTAAATATTCACCGTAGTAAGGAGGCGATTCTTCGAGTTCTAGTGCTGCTCCTGTAGAATTAAGGAACGTATAGTTACTGTCTAAGAACACCGTAGTATCGTTTAAAAATATTTGACTATCATTCAGCACATCCATGTTTCTGTGTTGTCTATAAACGTATAACTTTCATATTACACTTACATAGAAAACATATTCATAGGTCCCAGTTTCTATTCAATCATTTGAATTTATGCTATTCGTAATTAAAGTTCTTCTATGATATGGAAAGGATACAAAGAGTCACATTCATTGATGCTTAAATATAGTTTCGATAGATAATTTTGCAAATCCCATTTAGTTTATGTATGGAATAACAAAGATGTTATCTAAGTCTACACTTCAAAATAGCTCTGCATATTGGTGTGGTAATTTACGTTTCTCTGACTTTTTTCTCCATTCTTTTTTGCCGCTGAGAGTTCTATTGCCGTTTATGAGCATTCTGGGAAATCCTGAAAAAAAAAGATAAAAATACGATTTAGTATGTGAATTCTAAAGGACAAAAATAGTTTATTAAATTTTAATTTAGGTTTGAATACCTAAATTAAATGTACTATCTGTACACCTTGCACACACAAAAAGGGTGTATAGGTCTATATCTCCCGTTCTACTGGACCAATTGTCGAAATTTAGCTTTCGTTTTGCATGTCTTGAAAGAGGTCTTAGTCTAAGTCTTAAGACATATATTAGATTTATGTAAAACATTGTTCTAACAGGTATTTTGACACAAATCGGACTTTTTCTGATATAACATACCAAGTTTTCCCATATTTCGATTCTACGAGTCACATTATGCCTACATATTAAATTCTGTAATTTTTGGTTTGGAGAAATTTAAAAATTTATCTTGCTGCATTTTTTGAAGTTTAAGCCATAAATAGTTAAGTCGGCGAACTTCTTAATTTATTGCAACCTATTTACCTTCCCTTTTTCTCACTGGACACGAAAGGGAAAACGTTCATCGTTCATACTTTCAATTAATTTTTTACAAAGTCCGTAAACCACATTTGGCGCTATTATCGCTTATAACAAATATGCCAAATTCAAAACGCGCAAATATGTAAATTCACGTCTATCTTAGAAAATTTTGAACCAAAAAAAAATACTCTCAATTTTTTTGCACGTATGCTTAGAAAAATATCTATTGTAAGATAATGATAAAAATTTTATAAGTTACGATTCAACACTTTTTTGAAAAATTCATTAAAATTATTTTTAAATAAGAAAAAATAAAAATAAATCATAAAACATGGGCGAATTTTATTTGAAATAACCTAAATTTCGAAATGTGAAATGAAGAATCAAATAAGTTTAGTAAGAAAAGGAATATTAATAAATATATATAAAATTCAATTAACATGGAGGAGCTAAAATTTTGAGAGATAATTAAAAAAAAAAAAAAAAAAAAAAAAAAAAAAAAAAAAAAAAACTACTCTTGCGATTTTTTACAAAACTTGGCATTTTGGCATAATTTGCGTCGTAGAATAGAAATATGAGAAAAAAGTGGTATGTTATTTCAGAAATAGTCCGATTTCGTGTAACAATACTTATGTTAGAGCAACTCTACATATAAATCTAATACATATCCTAAGTCGAATTTTCGAGAAATGGAAAACGCAAGTTAAATTTCGGCAGTCGTTCCAGGAGATACAGAAAAGTCCCATTTTTTGGTGCAAGGTGTACATCATTTCTTGATATAAAGGTGAATCTAAATCTAAGTTAATTATTTATAAATAATGTATGTAATTTTAAACACTAATAGAAACTAACTTTCAACAACTAGAAAATATACCTAAAAGTGCTGCAGGTAATTTAATATATTAAAATGAATCGTAAGTTTAAAACATTTCATATAAAGTCTTCCATTGGTTGAGCAAATTAAGAGTTACATAATTAAACTTTTTGTAAATTGGCAAACATTTCATTCTAGAGTCCTCAGACTGTTAAATGTGAACTCCTTCAGTAATTTAGACCATTATTCATCATCTAGAACAGATATTTTCAACCTTTTCCTTTCATCGACCCCTTTTAAATGAATGGTTTTCTTCATTGGGCCCCGTTACGATTTTATTTATATAACATTACATTTTTATTTATAATATGCAGTATGCAATATAATCAAAATATAAATAACTCAAAGATAAGAATTAGATTAAGAATACGAACAAGACTTTTGAGAATTTGCTTCATTAAATTTATGTTTAATTACTTTTTGCTATTATTATTTTTTAAAATTTTCGAAATAGTTTTGACAAAAATACCGCAGTTACTAATTGCACAAAATTTCGATTTTAATTAATGTGACACCTGCGCTTGTTGTATTGACGCAGGTTTTAAAAAATGACATAAAATTGCTTTTTATGGAAAGAACCCCCCCCCCCCCCCGAAAAAAAAAAAAAAAAAAAAAAAAAACTGTTTGAGGCTTTCCGTTTCTAGACGCAGATAATCTTTAAGACTTTGAGCCAGAACTCTTACAACCAACCTAAACTAAAAACCTTTCTTCATCTGTTTGTCTTAACTTATGTTCTTGCGTTTTACTTTTACATATAGCATTTATTTGATAAAACATTTATACATTTAAAAATATATATTATTGATTTTTAAAACATGTTCAATAATTTTAGTGTATTCCCCCTACATTTATTTTATGTGACATCTTTAATCTTTGATACAGCTTGATAACAATAAACAATTAGTTAGCAGTTTTATTAATAATTTCTTATAATCGAGAGATGTTAATTATGCCAATCAATTGCTGGTGCGTATTCGTCTATCGACCCCTTAATCATAACTGACCTTCTTTAAAATTGCATCGACCGAAGAGCGTTCAATTCCTTGATATAGAGCGTTATGTAGAGCGCACGATTGAGAGTTAAAGAGACTAGATCCGCGAAGAGGAACATAATTAAACATGCCCACGCACACACATGCAACCAAAATTTAAGCCTTTGTCTACGAGTAAAAAAATTTTCCGGTGATCTATCCAAGTGAACAACAAAATATGACATAAACAAGGTAAATTTAGCATTTGGAATTCTTTTGACAAATGGTTTTCAAGCCAAAGGCTGGGACACATATGTCCTAGCGGAAGTTGATGGTGGGATACGTATGTCCGAAACGAATGTAGCGATCGACTCATTATAAGCATACCTATTATTCTGGAAAACTTTTTTATATTAAATAGATTTTACATCGTATGATACAGGGTTAAGCATTCTTTGCGTAACCCAACATTACACATTGGGCAACTCATATTTGTTATTTCCTCTGTGTTCATTTGATGATCCCCAATATTCAGGAGCTTCTAATTACCTTTTAACCCAGTAGTAGGTTTTAAAATTTTAGTGCAACATATATGTCTCGTTGGTAGTCAAAGGGTTAAGGAGTATTCGAACCAACAGCCTTCAATTTGGAGCAAAAGTTATCTTCCGTTAACCATTGTAACTTCCAGTGTAACTTTGACACTTTCAAATCATTATTGTTATTTTTACATTCTTTATTTGAGATTTACTTCTAGAGTTTCACGATTTTTTTCAGAATGAGTCAAGACTCACCACTGAATTTTTTCGTATTTCTAAATTTAGCAGAAAACAGTAAAAACTGTTTTAAAACGTGAACATGTAAGTTACGCTTATCAGCTGAACCATTTCCTCAAGCTTTTCCGTCTTAAATCGTTCCTTGAATAAATAATATATGTTTAGCAAATACTTCGTTCTTTGAATAAATAATATATGTTTAGCAAATACTGTCAATGTATACTTTGTTATAATACATAATTTCCAAAATATGAATTTTTAAAGCTCTTGTATAAACTACGTAAATTTATGTTAAAATGAAGTAGTCTCAAATTTTAAATACCCGTGTTGAACCTAGGAGTTGAGTTTCTATTGCAAATTATTTTAACATGTTTCTATTGATATATAAGCTATCTGGGTTAGTATTTTGCATCGGGATATCCTTTATACGAATATTTTGGCTTACATGGTTGTCTATAAATTTGGATTCATTAAAAAAGAATCGTACAAAATGAACTATTAGTACAATGGTCTCAAACTGGTGACTCGCGGGCAACATGCGTTACGATGCAATTTTATGCGACCTGCAAATACATTTTAATTATGTATTAATTGCAAATACGGTGTTTCAAATCTTTCAAGATTTGAAGTCCACATTTACTTGGCCCACCAGCGGCCGAGCGGTAAAGTCGTTGAAAACTGGTAGTTCGGTCTGAGGTTCGAATCCCGCGAACGGGGTGGCTGCATGGGTGTTTTCGTGGTTTTCTCCATGTGTAAAGTGTATACGAGCCAGTTTCCCTTAGAAAGTACTCCACGAAGGCATCCCTCCCCTTAGGCAGATAGCCATAGTGTGCTTTGCCATAATTAAATACACCACAATACCACACCATATTTACTTTATTTTCGTTTCCATTAAAAACGAACATGAATAATGTACAGGAAAATCTGTAAAATAAGTTAACGGATTTATAATATTAATATATAAATCATATTCAGAAATTTTTAGTCCAAAGGGATTTGAATCCCGAAGGACTATTAGTTTCGTTTTGGCATTTTGCGTCGGACTCATAAATGTCGATTCACTTTTCAAACTGTTGCCACAAAATGTTAGAGTCCTGCATTATATTTGAAGAAATTAAATAATGAAAAATCTGCATAAATGTTTGTATATTTCTCGTATTGTGATAAAACAACGGTACAGAGAGTCATCGAATTTTGAATAACGTAATCCTCCAACGAATATGAGCATGTGGAAGACCCAATTTGAAATTTGAAATTTGTTTTATGATCGATTTCCTATTTTTTTAAAACTTTGACGAATTTTTGATTAACAAACTCAAGGATTTCAAAGCGAGCAATGGCAACGTTGTGCAGAAAAAACATTTTTATCTCCAGCGCGTGAGTCTCTGTATCGGAAATTCTAAAGATATGCTCGTTTTAAAACTATTTTGCGATATTGCTGTTGCACTGGATCTTATGGTTTAAGTGCGAGGAACATGATATTTAATAAAGAAAGGTAACACACAAAATGTTAAAAAAACGCCCCTTTGGACGTAATTTAAAATCTGAAACATTTCAGATTTTGTTTTTTTTTTATATTTATTAATTTTTTTCACCTCTCAAAACATCAATAACACCAGCTACTAAATTTCTCTTTACGAATAATTATTTCGTTTGGGAATACTGAATTTAAAATAAATACAATAAATAAGAGAAAGCAATACGATGTTATTACGAATTCTGTCGCACTTGGTAAGTTTTCTCTGAAAATTTAGAAAATTTTCGTAATTTTTCATTTTTAGTTTAAATTAAAGTAATTTAATGATTAACTAAACATGTTAGAATCATTTGCAAGAAATTCCAGTCTGGAACTGAATACTTAGCTATCAGTATATTTGAACTGTGAAATTTAATCAAGAGAAATGTCTTACAGGTAC